CTGTTCTGACTTCTGATTCTGCAGGTTCTGCACTCTTCTTCAATTTCTCTACATGTATGCATGCATATTTCTATATTGACATTTCAGTCAATCTTGTGATAAATGACATTAATGTTGTATACAGAGCAGTAGAGAAATCAGAGACATGTATGACATTGTTATAAGAGTAGCTTACAGCCCTCAAATTCCTTACAAACCTCGAGTTTTAAGATTTCCTTTGTTTTTGACATTTTTCAGATGACATGGTGTTGGAAATAGATTAAACATGTGATATATGAAAATGAATGAAATATGTATAATAATATTTGTCTTTTACAGCTGATTCTTACAGTTGATGATCAATTCATTATCTCTTTTCTTACACTTTTTCTTTATCTGCTAGTTACTACTCTTACACAATCTCTATATAATACAGTATTCAGTGACTAGGTTCAGCAGCTTTCATCTTTTGTGATTCTGTCTCATGTATTATACTGTCTCTCTTCACCTACTCAGATCACTATAGTGAATAGTCTATTAAAACTAATCTCATCTGATCTCTGAGCATTCTCAGAGATTGAGATAACTTGATCTTATATGTCTGTAAATGTTTCAGATAGTTCATTCTCTGTGATCTCTGTAATTGAACTGATGTAAACAGTTAAATTCAACTCTGAATTTCTTTTTCTTCTGTGATCTGACTCATGTGCAAGTCAGTTACTCTGAGATCATTCTTTGCTGTGTTGCACTCACTGTCTACAGCACATTATTATACAATCAGCTACAGTCTCATCACTTATTGAAGTATGATGTTTATCTGATTTCTTCATTTCTTCTCATTCTTTTCTTATAATTATGAAAAGATTGAAATAAGTGAGATCATCTGATTCATAAACATCTATGATTTCTCTTACTTTATAAGACTTTTCAATTGTAAGTCTCTTCTTTTTCAATGCTGATAATAGTGCTGTGAATAATCATAATCTGCTCAGATCTTGTATCTTTGCTTTCATAAGTCATGAATCATTTATTAAGTTATGTAAGACTCATCTTTCTGATTCTTTCAATGTGTATATTCTTAGAGAATGTAATTTGAGTATTTTATATGACTCAAATCATCTAGATTGAAACTTCTCAGAGCTCTCATTGTGTATGAGAACTCATATTCTCATCTTAAGACTCAATTTCTTAACAAGTGAGTCTTGTATTCTTTTTGATTGAATTGCTCAGTTCAGAAGTAACTCATTAGCTTTTGCACGTGTGTGGCTGATCTCTTTCAATCTTGGTTCTGTGTCCACGACTGTTGCATCTGCAACTGATACTGCTGCATCTGTAACTGCTGTTTCTGCTGCATCTGCAACTGCTGTTTCTGCTGTATCTGCAACTGCTCTCTCTCTCACCTTTTTCAAAGCATTCTCCAGGATGCGCGGATGCAATCCATACAACAGGTAGAATGGTGAATGCTTGAAGACTGCATGCTGTCGAATCTGTGTGATCAATAGTGCCTGCCTGAGATATTCATGCCATAGTCTTGTAGGCTTGCTCACTAGATATTTTGTCAGCATGTTGTTCAAGATTTCATTCAAGTGTTTCATTTTCTCATTTGTCTGCAGATGATATGATGTTGTTCTACAATGTCTTGTCTGTAACTGGCTCATGAAATGCCTCATCACTTCTTATACAAGATTCACACTGTTATTAGTTAGAATCTCATGTGGTATTTCATAGTTGATATAGATCTCATCATGTAGAAACTTCATTATCATCTTCTCTGTCATCTCTGAAACTGCTTTTACAACTGATCAGTCAGTAGTATAATCAATAGCAGTGATTATTCATTGATTTTCATTTGATATTCACAGTAATATATCTATGAGATTCATTCTTTATTATTTGAACAGTTGTATTGTATACTTCATCTGATATTACACTTTCTCACATTCTAACCCTTTCTTAGATTCTTTTATGACCTGATAATTTGAGCACTCTTGAGTGTATATCTGAATGTTCTCAGTCATGCTTGATCAGTATGCTCTTGATTCAAGTACACTCATGAGTTCGGAACTTTCTAAGTGACTGAATTTCTTGTGCATGTGAGTCATTAAGTTATATCTAAATAAAGATTCTAGATAGAGAGCTTCTGCATATTCTAGATTGTAATAAAGCACAATGTTGTTTTTCAATTTTCTCAACTTGAAGTTCAGAAGCATCTCTTCTACTACTTTCATAAGATACTTGTTATCTGACATCTTATCATTCTTCAAGTAAGAGATCATGATGTTCACTCATCCTGATTCCTTATATTATTATTATTATTATTATTATTATTCTTCAATTATAGATGTATACAGTCAGAGACTATGACATCTACCTGAGAACTTTTAGTTCTCAGGGTTTTTCCTATAGCTGTAAAGTTAACTATTATACATTCATCAATTTCAGATATGCAAAATCAGAAAATTCCAGCTCAGAATACAAAAACTGTTTACAAATTACAGTGTTTTAACATCATCTCATACTTTGAAATCATTTGACAATATCATGACAAAGGAAAAGAGAACACAGTCTTAAAGATAGACACATTAAATAGATAGACAGAAAGAAATTGAAAGAAAAAGATAAAATAAAGAAAGACTGTAACAAAACAAATTATTAAAAGATAGTATATAGCTGTTTTAACAGACTATATCTGGTTGATTTCCTCCTCTTCATATTCAGATAATTCTGAATTTAGCCATTTTCTTGTAGCTGCTTGAGTTTCTGATAGAAAGTCTATTAAGTATTTAATTTCTGTCTCAGTTGAGAATAAGAATCTCATATTTAATTGATTTAAATTATACTTCTCTTTCAATCTGACTCTGAGACTATTGTATAATGCACAGTGCATTACAATATACTCAGAATTCTCATTTATATTGCAGAATGAGCATTCTATTGAGTCAAATCTATCATCAAATCTTTGTATATAAGATTTGAAATAGCCATGTCCTAGTTTCAGCTGTATTATAGATGAGAATATTTTCTTTTTACATTTAATTGAACAAGATTTTCACTTGGGTTTTGTTTCAAATCTTGAATAATGTATACTCTTCTTTTGTTTCTACCAGCTCTCATTTCACTTGTTTAAACAAGATTCTTTTATTTTTCTCTTTATAAAAGATCAGGACATAATTTTTTGAAAAGATCTGCTTAATTCTGCACTCTTTTTTGCAGCTGAATCAGTCAATTCATTGCCATGAATATTCATATAAGCAGGAACTCAGTGCAGATGAATTATCAGCTTTGATATTCTTCTCTTTTGAATTTTCAAAACAGAGTTTAAGATCAGTTCAAGATTCATTTGTTCATTATGAATCTGACTATTTCTAAGTCTTTTTAAAGCAGCTTGACTATCAGAGAATATTCATGTTTCTTTCAAACTATTTTCTCTTTTATGAGATTCTATTTCTATGAGTTTGAAAGCTTTCACTATTATAAATAGTTCAGCATCAAAGACTTCATATTCAGAGCCTAGATTTCAGAAATCTGAGATAAAATTGATATTATCTTCAGTATAAGCAATGCCTGCGCCTAATCTATTCAAGTTCTCATTTTTTAAGTCATTTGAATAAATCAGAATAGAGTCTTTTATATTGATTATAGAAATTCTCTTCAAATGCTGTTCATATTCTTTCTCTTTTGATAGTTCACTTATTTGTAAGTCTATAAGAGATTCAAGCTTTTCTCTTCAGAGAGATAACTTCTCATGATCAACTTTTTCAACATTTAAAGAAGAAAATTGATTTTTAATCAGAGAGTATAGTCTGTACAGTTGAGAAGGCATTTTCTTTGAAGAATTATTTTCATTTCAATCAAGAAATCTATTTCAATCCAGTTCATTTCCAGAGTTAATTGATGAAAATGAAGAAGAGACTCTTTCTCTGATTATATGATTTAAGCTCATCTTTACAACTCTCAGAGCATAGTTTATACAGGCCTTTTCAAATCTAATAGCAGAAGAAGGAATTGAAGCTTCAATTTTCATTGCTTTAATAGAAGATGATTTGAATGCTCTCAGAATTCTTCTCAAGACTCTGTTTTACAGACTTTGAAAGAGTTCAGTGAAATTCTCTTGATTATTTTATCAAACTTGAACTTCATAATCAGCTACTGATATAATACAGACTATATATAACTGTCTTATAGTCTGAAAGAATAGACCTCTCTCTGTATTTGATAGTCTGATTATATTGTTCAATAGTCTTTCTGTCTTGACAGTTCTTTGTTGAATGTGATATTTAAAATTCAACTTGAAGTTTAATCATACTTCTAATTATTTGATATTTACACTGAGTTTAATCTCTCTATTTAAAAGAGTTAGAGATAGTTCTTTCTCATTAAATCTAGAAAAGAAATAAATTAACTCAGTTTTATTCATATTAAATTGAATTTGATTGATATCTGCTTTAATAAAGATTTTCTTTATAGCTTCTTCAATCACTTTTAAATTCTCTTTAATAGTTTTTAAGCTGTAGACTAGATTAATATCATTTATATAACTTGAAGATTGCACTATTCTCATATTTCTATTTTTGAATAGATATGCAGTGTATATTGCAAATAAAATGAGTGAGATTGAAGATTCCTGTGATACTTCTATTTTTATCTCAGTCTTATCTTATTTCATTCCATCAAAGAAGAGTTGTATACTTCTTTTAGACATAAAACAGTTAACTCATTTTATTAGAGAAAGTGTAAGAAATCCCGCTCCTCGCGGATTCTTTACCCCTATTCCTATCTCTCGCGTAACCAATAGGGCTAGCGGCCCTTGGCTACACACAACTATATAGACTGGAGTTCATGAATACTATTCACAACTCAGCTTGAATGCTATTATACATTTGATCTCTACATTTATCTTTCTACTGTGAACACTTCTAGTAGTTAACAGTATATATCACATCAAGCTGCAAACACCTGAATAATTGCCTGCAAGCACTTATTCTTACATTTCAAGCTCAGTCAGTCAGCAATCGCCTGTTATGACTGGAAGAACTAGAAACTTGCATGCTTCAACCCCTGTGAACCCTACTGCAGGCACTCAGGAGCAGCCACCCGAATCATGGATAACCTCTGTGGAAGAAGTCCCAGAGGACTTATCAACCACTTGCAGGACATCATCCTCTGCATCTGTGACAGGGGAATTCTCTGAACTCACAAACAAACCAATCTCAGTGAAGAACATCCTTGAGCATCTCCTGCGGGATCAAGCTATTTTTCTACAAGAAATGCTTACTGCCTGCAAACATCCTCAAACTGAGTCCCTAGACATGATCTTCAGAGACACTCACAAACTGAAAAGAAACTTCCTCAAGCTATGATCACTTAAGGCCATCTATTGAATCACAATCTATAAAAGCTTTTGTGAGTTTGCATTTGAAATTGACTCACAAGCCTGGCTATGTGACATGAAAGATGAAGAAGCTATCACCTATGCAATGACAGGCCTCTATTACACTGAAGCCAAGAACTGGCTGAATTATCTAGAGAATGATCATGAGAGATTCTGATGATCTGTTCTTAAGACCTATCTAGAGAATAAGTTGAGAAACTCTGTGAGCTGAACAGAGAACACCTGAGCCGCAATCATCAATATTAGGAAAAGAGATGAGGAATCTGATGAAGACTACTCACAGTGCTTCATGGAATTATGATATGAATTGAGGCCTGTGAAAACAGGGCCCTGAAACAAGACCTGGATAATGATGTTTACAAAGAAGCTGGATAAAGATATGCAGGACAAGCTCATTGAGCAAGGCTCTAAGTTCTTGACTCTGGAGAAACTGATGACTCTCATTCATTACTTACAGATCACTGTGAGAGTCACAGACCTGCAGAGAGCAGATCATCAACTGGCCTCATAAGGACCAGGACAACAGAGAACAGATTTGTCAGAAAAAGATGACAAGACATAGAGAGATTTGTATCTGACTGCTGAGCAGAGAGAAAGAGCTTCACAAGCTCCTGTGAACAGAGTATATAACAGAGAGATTAAGAAAAAGAGACTCTGCTTCATCTGTTCTAAATCAGAATATCTTCATGCAAACTGTTCAGACAAATCAAAATAGAAATTTGAGAAGTCACAGACAGAGTCAGCAACAGCCTTCTTAAGGGTCTTGAAGCTGACATCTGAATCTGTTGCTCTCTCAATGAAAATGCTTGCTCACAGAGAGAGACTGCACTGCAATGCTGCTGCTCTGCAAGCATGGGAAGTATTGATGAACTCAGGATCCCAGGTCACTGTGATGTCTCTAAAGCTCGCGGAGTGAATAAGCTGAAAGATGAAGACTGAGAACCTGCTCTTGCAACAAGCAGGGTGTGAGAACTCAGATCTGAGAGCTGAGAAACTCATAAGAGTCATCTTTGAATTGCAAGATCTCTCTGAAATCTGGAGAAGATTTGTGAAAACTGTGATTGTCACAGATATCACAGATGACATGTATTTGAGACTTGCATGACTTCAAAGACATAATCTGCACATAGCTGTTCATGAGTCAGGTTTATACTTCTGATCAGTGTTGACAGACTCACTTGTGAAGATAGAAGCAGTTAATGCTGTAGAGTTGATTAGAGAAGACAAGCTTATCTATGTGATGACTTTGTGAGTGTCTGAGAATCTTGTAGTCATGAAAACTGAGCTTCAGATATCAGAGAAATACTGAGATCTTGCAGAGGTGTTCAGTTCAGCTAAGACAGCTGAGCTTTCTTCTCACCGCAAGGAGAATCTGATAATAGATTTGATAGAAGGGCAGAAACCCTTCTGAGAATCAATCTATAAACTCTCTCATCATGAGACAGAGGCCTTGCAGATCTATATGAAGAAGAATCTGAAGAATGACTTTATCTGATCTTCACAGGCCTCTGTGGGAGCCCCTGTGATATTCATGAAGAAGAAGAATGAAGATCTCAGATTATGTGTAGACTATCACAATCTGAACTTCAAGATAATAAAGAGCTACTATCTCCTGTCTCTGATTGAGAATGTGATCAACTGTCTCACAGAAGCTGTCATATTCATACAACTGAATGTGATCAATGCATATACATGACTGTGAATACAGTCTGAGAATGAATGAAAGACTGTCTTTAGAACTGTACTGAAATTGTTTGAATATCTAGTGATGTCTTTTAATCTGATTAATGTCTCTGTGACATTCCAGTCTTTCATCAATAAAACACTTTGTGTATATCTGAATATCTTTGTGATAATATATCTGAATGATGTGATGATGTACTTCATGAAGAAGAAAGAATACACTGAGCATGTGCAAAGTGTGTTGAAGGCCTTAGATGAGGCAGGACTGTATATTAAGCTTACAAAGTGCAACTTCAGTATCTGTCAGATTAATTTCCTAGAATATGTAATCACTGTGGATGATATTCAGATGAAACCTTCACAGATTGAGACTATTCTATCATGACTGAAGCCAACTAGTATTCATGAGATTCAGATCTTTCTGAGCTTTGTGAATTTCTATAGATAATTTATCTTTGTGTTCATAAGAATCTTCTTGACTCTTACAGACATACTGAAGAGTGAAAATAAGAAGAAGTCATCCTGTGAATAGAGAATGAAAAGATTGTTGAGAAGAGAGAACTGCAAGAACTTTCTTATCTCAGAAGCTCACAGGGCCTTTACAAGATTGAAACAGATATTCATAGATGCAGTGATACTGTTTCACTTTGATCTCTTGCTCTTAATCAGATTGAAGACAGATGTCTTCTTTTTTACAATTTCAGAAATAGTCTCATAACTACAGTCAAATGAGAACTGGGTTTCAGTGGCCTTTTTCTCACAGAAGATGCAATCTGTGAAGATCAACTATGACATTTATAATCAGAAGCTTCTTATAATAGTGAAATTCTTTCATCACTGATATCACTACTTCAAGAGCCTTATAACAGTGATTACTGTTAGAACTGATTATGACAGCTTGTAATAGTTTACTTCAATCAAGAAACTCTCACAGCAGCAGATTCACTGAACTCAGAGACTGAGTGAGTTCTGATTTAAGATAGAATATATCAAGAGAACTAAGAACTCAGCAGATGAACTCTCTCACAGATCAGACTATGTTAAGGAGGCCAGGATGACAGACACAGAGAAACTAGAGAAGACAGAAAAGCTTCATGAGATGCTCAGACTGAGTGTTGTGAAGAGATTGACTGAAGAGTCTCTCAATTCCTCATGAGAGAAGAGGGAGAAGAGAGAGAAGAAGCCTGCACAACTACTCTCTACAACACTGAGAGTCAACACTCTGAGAATCTCTGTAAGAATTCTTGAAGAGGGTATCTATAATCTGAAGAATTTGCAGGCTTTGAGAAGCACTGTGGAAGACCTGATGCAAGGAGAAACAGAGTACAAGTCTTTGTAAGATCTTCTATCCAGATTGTCTGAACTGCAACTGAAGAATGAATATACTCAGTATATTCAGAAACTGCTCACAGCAGGGATCAATCCTGCAGAAATAAAGAATTGAAGAGACTTAAATAGCCTCTTGCAAAGAGAGGGCCAGATTTATATGCCTGCAAATGAGTTTCTACATGTAGAACTCATTAAAAGATATCATGACTCTTCTCTAGCAGGTCATTTTACAGACACTAGAACTCATGAGTTGCTTACAAGAAAATACTTCTGACTGAAGATGCAAGAACTTGTGAAGAAGATAGTGAATTCTTGTGCTGTTTGTCAGGGTTTGTGAGTAGTGTGATCCAGGTCATATGAAGAACTTACTCCTCTATCCATTCTGTGGGAACCTTGGGAACAGCTAGGAATGAATGTCCTTGTGAGCCTCTCTGAAAGCAAGGACATATATGATGCCTGCTTTGACAGTGTGCTGGTGATAGTAAATCACTTCATCAAGATAACACACTTTATACTCATCTACAAGAACTTGAAGTCAAAGGATTTGACTCATATCTTTGTTCACAATGTGATTCAGTTGCATGAATTGTCTGTAAACATTGTCTCAGACAGAGAATCAATCTTCACAGAAGAGTTCTGATCTGATCTGATGACTATACTGAAGATCTTATGAGATCTAAGCATGACTTTTCATCAACAGACAGATGATCAGACAGAACATCTGATGAGTATATTGAAACAGTATCTGTGATGCTTTGTCAATTACAATCAGAATGACTGAATGTATTAATTGTCACTCACAGAGTTCATATACAACAACTCAAAACATGTCAGCACAGATAAAACCCTCTTTGAGATGCTCACTGAGACTCATCCACAGATGATCTTGATGGACCCGCGAGAGTACACTATAGAGTGTGATGATGCTCATGAACAGGCTGAGAGAATTCAGGAGATTCAGAAGAAAGTCTGTGAATTCTTGAGAAAGACCTAAGAGTATCAGAAGAGATACTATGACTCTAAGCATATTATAAAGAGTTTCAAGAAAGATGATAGAGTCTGACTGAGTTTAGAAAACATCATCATGTGAAGATCTAGTAAGAAGCTGAATCTCTTGTAGACAGAGTCTTGCAAGATTATGAAGAAAGTTAGCTCACAGTTCTATAGATTGAAACTGTCATCTGAGTTGCAGATGCACAATGTTTTTCATGTCTCTTTGCTCTGTGAATATAAGGAATTCTCAGAAGAGAATTCTGTGACTCATCACTCTGTTTATAAAGCACTAGAGAGTGAAAGAGAATATCAGGTTAAAGAAATTATTAACTCAGAGAAGTGAGATTATGAGCTCTGATTCAAGGTTCAGTGATAAGAGTATTCTGATAAGATAAATGAGTTCACTTGAAAATCATTCAGACAGATAAGACATCTGCAGAAGCTGAGATATGACTTTCATACTACAAATCCTGATAAGTCAGAATGATGCAGTCTTTGCTAAGAACCTGATTGTAATAAAGATATTAACACTGTCATTTACAAACTCTAGTCTACAAGATGATGAGTTTCTACTGAGATGAACAGTCTGCAGTGTATGCAAGAAAAGAAGAAAACATGTTCTCATTAAAGCTAAAAAACAAGAAAATAAACAGGACTGTGAATGCAATTTAGAGATTAATAAAGAAAAAATAAAGAAAATTCACACTCACATTATTAATATCTGTAACACTCAATTCTCTCACAACTATCAATTTTTCTCTTCAAAGAAGCAGAAAGTATCATGTCTGTGATACAGACAATTATTGCATTTGACATGAAGATCACCAGAAATGCACAGACTTCAGAGAAGCTGGACATCAGGATGTGCACAGTTGCAGCAGGGTCTTGAAGACTGGTCATCTGTGTGTATAATCAGATATCTCTCACAAAGCTGTATCTACTCTCTCAGTTATGCTGGAGTAT